ATATGTTGGGTACCAAGTGAAGAACATTGATAAACCTGCAGCCTCGATTAATGATTTCGAGCGCTGTTGCGGACCCGGCCTTCGTGGTGAGCCCGTGGCGTCTGGTTAGCATCGCCCCGAAGCGCAGCGTCGGGCCGCGAGGCGCTGGCTCGTTCCTCGCCTCGGGCGCGTGGGAGGCGCCGCCGGCGGGCTAACCTTTGGGCGGCACCGCGGCGCGCCGCGGGAGCCGGGCCCCATAAATCGCCCCCATCCCTTGCCCGGGCGCGCCGCCCGCCGCCCGGCGGCGGCGCCTGCACTGTAAAGCTTAAGAACCGTTCCCGCGGCTCGCTCGCGGCGCCGGCCGAAACGCGGTGCCCACCGCTGACGGAAGCTGCAAGACAGCTTCGCTCGCCGGCGAATTCGTTTAAAGACTCCGAGAGCGATATCCGAAGTACGTTCCACGGGGAAATAGCGCTGGGCATTAATGTTGTTTTCAACAGGTTTATCGCGATTGCCTTGACAAGGAATACGCGCACAGATGTAAATGTTTGCTTGCCAAACAGATAACGCTTTAAAGTAGTGCGATGACCATAAAAACGAAAAGTAATTAGTAGTAGATAGTACATAATATAGTGTTAATTTATTATTACTAATTTTCCAATTGCGCGCCGAAATGAAAGGAAAAACTTTTTGCAACCTTGACCCTTTTGTGAGGTTCAATGGTATTTTTGAGACCAAAATCCTCAGGAAAATACAAAAAATAAATGAGATTCGATTTCGCCAAAAGTTGAGATACTTATTTTATTCTCAAGCTGTGTGACCGACTAATTCTCATACCCCCTGCATGGCTTTTGACACAGCTGACGTCATACCATAGCAAGACTCCAAGAAGAGGCAGTCTGCTATTAAATATTTGCAATACACATATTGTGCCATAACATAAAACCTTTAGAATATTCTCGTATCAATAACTGTTGTTTTGTTGTATAATACTTAATTGCAGTATTCCTGAAAGCTATTTTTGTTCATCCTTAATTTATTGCAGAGCGAGAGGATTATTTGGTTGCCTTGGGCAACGCACATTCTATATTTTGGAAAACATTTAATTGATTTTCTTTCCAAATCGTAGATGAGGCGTCAGTAATGTTCATCGTTGAAGAAAAAAACGACTTCACATTGTATTTCTTTATGTTAGAATTTTACGTCTTCCGCTCCTAACATAAATAATGACAATTTAAACGAATCGCTCGTCCGTTGTCTGCCGCGAGGATCGCAGCGGTGCCGCGGCGTTGCTGTTTGCGTGTGCCTCGGCGCAGCGGGACGTCCCATCCTGTCGTTACACCAACGAGTCACAACTACGACGGCTCACCACCCCTACACATGAGCTCCGGCGGACCACCCGCCGCCTCCGCTACGCGCACATAGCGAGTAGAGATTGCCACAGATGGACCCAAAATAATATTGACAGGGTAAATGAAGACTTTTATCGGCATAGTATAACAATTTTTACTTGCCATTCTAGGTTAAAATATTTCAACTTTCTTGCATATTACTTATATAGTATAGGGAAAATTTTGTCATGCTGCAGAAAAAGGGATTTTTCGACAAAATAATTCATAATGCCAGTCCTTAGAAATATTGCATATTTGTTGTTGCTATATGTAGAAAATTACATTTTGCGTAAAGGACCCTTCTTTTGAGGGTTCTTTTTCCAGAAAAAGTAGTTGACTAGACGTGATACCGAAAAAAATACTGCACGTCCGCCTGTGAAAACGATAGTGTCTAAGTTCTAAGCAGCATTTTAATCACAATTAATATTTCGCAATCGATCTGTCTGGTGTCGCAGTCTTCTGAATTTGAAACTGATAATTTGATTTTAAGTGGTTCTTTACACTTTTAAAAAAATTTGAGAAATGGCTTCAAAATTTTTCTTTCTCGATTAGTTAGAGCAGTGTACGTTAAAAACAAGGTGCATAAGAGGTTTTTTTCTTGAAAATTCTGAATTTTTTTAAATTGGAAAAGTTATATTTTTTCGGCGCCCTTATGAAACAATAATACTGAAAACAGCACCTTTTCTTATTAAATTATTTCCTTCAAAATGTGATCTTTATATTAGAGAACGTATAATTTAAAAATATGAGTAGTTTTCGCGTAAATTTGTGTCAAATAAAGATTTTAAAAACAATTTTTTTTTCAAAAATGGCTCTAATTTTAAAAAAATGTTTCTTGGATAGTGCGACGTATGCTTAAAAGAAAATGAAGCCTGCGCCATTTTATAAGTCTAGTCTAACTCTGTCTCTGAATTTTCGAAAATTAAAAAAAAGTTGCAAGAAATGTAAGGAAGTATGTACAGATGTGGCTGCACTAATTAGTTTTAGAGGTGTAGCAAAGCCACATACATCATTTTGGACATTTTTCTGTACATCTGGCAGTTTCCGCGGGACACAAAGGCATAGTCCTTTTTTAAAATATTTAATTTATAACAATTTTAATTTCACAATGCTCCTCCGATGCACAACAGTTATGTTCATTGACAGACAGTAAAATAAGATTGCAACATATTATGGTTAGGCTAGACTGTAAGGGTGCGCTGGTGTTGCCACGAAGAAATTTGTGTATGGCGATACTTTCGATTTCTTTCCAAACATTCGATTAGCGTTGAAAGACAAAAATGACTATCGCAATATCACTAAAATCCAAGAAAGATTGTAATAATAAAAGAAAAAAACGAAGAAACTGTAACTCCTCATTTGAACAAAAATAAAAGAGAAACTACACTGGGGTCCAGCGTTGACACCCTATTCGTAAGGGACACTCAATAAAGTGCTTTTAATATTGTACATATATTAGATAAACTACGCAACAACTTCAAAACCTAATTAATTAATAATTATTTTTTGTCATAATTTAAAAATTTGTGCAGTTATTACGTTATTTTTTTCTATCCTTAATCTTCATTAATATAATGTTTTCTTCGCCTAAGTTGTCTCTTAAAACGATCTTGTACAAACTAATCTTGTACAAATTTTACTCGTGTTGATTTACGTGATGAGCCGTCATTTTTAGTGTCGCTCAGTTGTTCAAAATGGTAAGAAAACATTCTGAGTTCACATTTAGATGCAATCTTTCTGATTAACTGGCTGTTTTGGATTTACACAGTTACCTGCAATAGGAAAAGGGATCTAATTCAAATTTATGAGTGTGTTCAGAAAATCAGATAACGGTGGACTCGGATGCCGTGTTTGGGAGCGAATGCTGTCCCCATTCATCAGTCTCGCGAGAGCAGAACGTGAAGACGAAAGCTTTCCGAATCGCCGAATTAAAACCGAATTCTTATCAGATGCTCCGCCGAATGCGTGGGACGAGCCCGAGGCTTCCGCGTTGCCTCACCGCGCCCGCGCCGTCTGCCGCGCGCCCCCAGACGACGCCCACAAATCGGCCTCAACCGCAGTGCACGATTCGGCGCGGGAACCCATCTTTCGCCGGGGCACCGACAAATTATTATCCTCTGAGGGACCTCTGGTGCCCTCGGAGCACTTGTTTGCGTTTAACATTTCCAGTCCTCATTATCATTGTCGAAACAGCCGTCGCTGCTGGGGTGCTCTGCTGGCCTGGCCGGACGTCACAGTGTGTTTTCAATTTGTGACGTAAGCTTTCGTGGAAATGTCATGGGTACACGATACCTATTGCAGTGGATGGTTTGCACAATGTTGCAATTCGAGAACGTAAAGCTCCTGTCTGGTGCTGTCAGATCTCGGCTTGTGACTAACTTGCTGTTCATGTTTCTTACCTATTTTTCTGAGTGTCGCTGCAATGATCGAAGTAGTCATCTGTGTGCTGTATGTTAAGTCTTCACAACTTCTACAAACTTTAAGAAACAGAAATCTTAAAATACGAGAACGTAACAATATTTAAAGAAATTTTGCAAATTATTTTCGACTTCAATACAAGGTTTTAATAGAATGAAGTATTGTTATATTTGTACGAAACTTCAATGAGACATCGTACATTAAATATTCTTACCAACTTGCCTCCAACATCTGCTTTTCAAATTTATTTCTTTGCCTACGCTAGTCAAAGCTATTTTGTTTGTCTTGTGGGAACATAAAAATTGTGTTTTGCAACAAAAGCAGACGTTATTAATTATTAAGAATGAAACATATTTTACATTTCATTAAATGAACACACGGATATACAAAATTAAGCAATAGAAGAATATTTCTTTCTAGAAATCTTTTGAAATGTTAATCATGAATACTATCAAAATTTCACCTTGCGAAGACATTATTGCTGTCATTAAAATTCAGAGATGTTGTGGCAGCTGACAAAAACACGAAATTTCAGACTCAAGAAACTTCCCACCTTACGGTGGCATTTAAGAAACCCCGTGTTCTCAAGATATGCCAAAATGATCGTGAATCTTTTTAGAGAAAAACATTCTACTTTGATGTATGTATACGTGTTTTTGAATTTTGTACCTTTTGTATTCCACAAAAGCCTATGATTCATACGATTACGTCGACATCGTATACGATTACATACGCGTCCATCGATTTGTAGCTTATTTTGCACGAACACTTGGGAAACCGAAAAGTCATTTGGGGCTGCGCGAGCCCAAACCCTCTCAAGTGTAGTTCGAACACGAAATGGTCCTAGAAATGAGGCACCTCACGCTGCCCCTAGGCGGCCCTTTGGGGGGGGGCGTGGGGGGGGGCGGGGAGGGGGCGGGGAGGGGGCTGGCCAGCTCGGACTCATCAGTCGCGGAACTGGACGGTCGTGAGTTTCATTACCAAAATTTCTCGAACAATTCTCATTCGTTTTTATGTACTAATAACGTTGAATATTGTTGTTAGTTTTTTTTGGTATTCTCCACCAAACTATTTAAATTTTTAGTTCACTGTAGCAATGGGTATTGCAGATCTAATTGTGTACGTGCATTTTAATGGTCAAATGAATATTGTAAAGTCTACTAACATTTTCCTTAGTTTGTTATTATATAAGGACTACAAATAGAACAGACATCATACGCAAGTTACCTGAAAGAGAAACTCAGAAATTAATTCTTTCAATGCTTGGATATGCAATAACGTGACATGAGAACTAATGAAATCTCGTTAGATTTTCACAAGATTATCCAAGGACTTTCAGCATATCGTAATAGAGGTATCTGCTTTTATTTTCGCAAATGTTCCTTATGTTTTGTACTGCCTATATTCTGTACTTTATGAACCGCGTTTTTAATTTTATTTATGTAGTATGTCTACTAGTATGTCACTTTTCCCTTCATTCATGTTCACTCATTCTGTGATATAGGTTTCTTTTCGTAAGTCGCAGGCAATTAGAATTCACAAACCCGTCACACCAGACTTTCCTGCTTGAATCTTTCTTATGGTAGTTAGTTCTGATCTTGTATTAATCATCCGTAGAATTCTGATATTCCTTGAATACTAACACACCGGCTGCGCTATTCATACTAGAAGACGCCATCTCCACAAAAATACCTCCAACAATTGCTAGCTGTCGGGGTAAAATTCAATGAATGAAATAATACCATTGAGTTAATACGTTTGTGTGATGTACGTGTAATGGCTTAACTATTGTATGTAATCAATCAAAGAACTGACACTCTTATTTTATACGTGATATATAAATTTTATTATTGAAAGTCTGCTCGCCGTGGAACATATTTGCGCAAAGATTCCTCCCAGGGAAGTGTGCATTGAGAAATTTTGCAAATGTGTAAATTTCTCAATGAACAGTTATTATTTCAGAACATTAAGGATCATAAATGTGTAATATGTAATAGCATACATAATAACTTGCATGTGGGTAGGACTTCAATACAGTCATTCTTCTTTCACATATTTTTAAATCTGGCGTGCCTTTGGGGAGAGATTTCAAGGAAATATATCCAAAGATCGTGTGAGGCATGTTATTACGTCATTTGAATTTTTTTATCAAGAAGTAGGCAGACATACGAAATACAATATTAAGAATTAGAATTGGGAAAAACATTATTTTCAAAATAATTTCATTAACTGTAAAAGTGGTCAGCCTTCATGAAAGTTTACGACTGTTAATTAATTATCAAGATCCGGAAGTAGATGTTTCTTCAATCTCATTGTACAACCTATCAGTGCTGCACCTTCGCTTCACTTTGCCAGTGCCTTTGGGTAAAGCACTTTCACCGACTGGCGGGTTGAACGTTGTCTTGTGCACAGAGAAGCCATGGGAGTCGTGACACTCCCAAAAATTGTGAAGGGGAGCCCTAGCATTACGGAATAAAACATTTTATTGTAGCTTATGTTCAATCTTTGGTTTTTCCCTTTTCAACCTAAGAAATTGGAGAACATGGAATTGTAGTACTTCTGGCTACTCTTGAAGAGGTTCTCCAGAACAAGTAGCTACGCTGTATATAGTTCAACATAAAATTAATTACATTTATTGCTTGTAGCATTCAATTTATAATCTTATTATGTTTATAGGGTGTTTTATTGATAAAATACCCTAATACGAAAACTTAAAAGGTTGAATGGAAAGGGAAATGGCATCCTCTCGCATTGAACTAAGCTGCGCATGCGCATGGGGCTGACGCGCAATCGATGCTTCCACAGCTACGAGACGGGCAACGGCATCGCGGCCAACGAGCAGGGCTACCTGAAGAACGCGGGCTACCCGGACCTGGAGGCGCAGGTGGCGCAGGGCGCCTACTCGTACACGGGCCCCGACGGCGTGCAGTACACCGTCACCTACACGGCGGACGAGGGCGGCTTCCGCGCGCAGGGCGCGCACCTGCCCACGCCGCCGCCCATCCCAGAGGCCATCCTGCGCGCGCTCGAGTACAACGCCGCGCACCCCGAGGAGGACGGCCTGCGCCGCCGCCGCAAGTAGGCGCCCTCCCTCCCCCCCGCCCCCCCCACCAACACGAGGGCTCACGCCGGGCTTAACTTCAGTCAAAAATCTTTCATCGCGAGGGGACTTTTCTGATCCATCGTTAGATCTTTTCCTATCAGGGACGTAATTTTCCAAAATCATTATCTGAAGTCAGTTTTGCACTCACTCTTCAGCCTCAATTCAGACCAAAAACTACAATTCATTGACTGCTATTTCTGGAGTGAGTTATTTATAATCGATAGTTACATCAAAAACTTTTTGTGCCCTCAGACCTTCAGATGTGAGAAAAAATTCGAGTTTCCCAAATTATTTGTGGTGGTGGTGGGGGGGATCTGTTGCGATCCACGAGAACGAAAACGGACCAGCGAGACTTGGCTTACGATTTCACTTGTGCATGTTTATATTTTTAGCAACTCATAACGTCCTACATGTATCTATTTGAAAACACTTCTCCATAACTGTCACACAAACGTGATGTGTTATTGTCGAATACAAATGAAGAGCATATCTGTAGGATATTTTAATCCAGTGAATCATTTCGTTTTGCGAATTGAATGTACGAGTGGTTTGTTAATTGTATTTTGATTTCTGATTGAAGACGGAAGTAACATTTTGTTTTCTATAATTTATTTTTCATGTTTGCATATTTAGTGTGAGTGTTTGATTTTTTGTGATCTGACAGGTAATATCGCATTGACGAGACCTGAAACATTGTCACTTTGTTTTATTGCAAATCTGTACTATATTTATATTGTAATAATGCAATAAATTTCGTTATAAAATCATTACATTTTATTTGAATTTTGATTGCCTTTATGGTACATACACTATATAATGACAAGTAACCGAACACATCCCAGTTGGTGTTATGGAGTGATCCTGTGTTTCGTGGAGGAGGCTTGCACCCCTTGCTGTTTTGTGTCGCACTATCTCGGCACAGGCCTACGTTGATGTTTTAAACACCTTCTTGCTTCTCACTGTTAAAGTGCAAATTGGGGAATGGTGATTGCATCTTTCCACAAGATCGAGCACCTGTTCATACTGCACGGCGTGAGGGGGAGTGGTTACACCACAATAACATCTCTGTAATGGACTGACCTGCACAGAGTCCTGACTTGAATCCTATCGAACACCTTCGGGATGTTTTGGAGCGCCGACTTCGTGCCTGGCCTCACCGACCTCCATTGTGCAGCATTCCATGAAGAATGGGCTGCCATTTCCGAAAAATACCTTCCAGCACCTGATTGAAAGTACGCCTGCGAGAGTGGATGCTGTCATCAAGGCTAAGGGTGGGCCAACACCCTATCGAATTCCAACATAACTGATGGAGGGCGCCACGAACTGGTAAGTCTTTTTCGGCCACGTGTCCGGATACCTTTCATCACGTAGTGCATGTATGCTACGGCTAATGCCCAAATTTGGCTACTTGGGGAATTCACGAGTTCATTCGCATATGAGGTAAACGTCTGGGTAATTTCCGTAGTAGGAACAGCTTCAAAGCGTTCTTAAGACGTCAGCCGGATAATACGCGTATCAAGCAACACGAAGTGGCTAGGTTCGACTACGTTATCGTTAGGGAGGAGAAGATTATCTAATGTGTGATAAACAGATGATATATGACAAATGGATATGAGAGGGAGCAGAGACAAAGGTGGGTAAAAAATCTTTGTTTACCCATTTCCACCAAACCTATCCTAAATACTGTAAATGTAGGTTGAATGTCACCTAAATACTACCTTCACAATTCGAAAGTAAGTTTTTTCAGGAAAATACTTGCTTTTTATTAGGAAAAAAGACTTGAATAAATTGTGCGAAATATAATAATAATAATAATAACAACAACAACAACAAATACTACATACATTATTTATAGATAGTGTTGGTTAGATACCATGATTCCTTACTACGTAATTGCCCCAAAGCGTACTTATTCTGAGAAGTCTCCATTAACAAAACCAAACTATGATTTTTCATTTTAGTGAAAAAGCAATCTAACAATCACACCCTCAGTTCTATAAGAACAATGTAGTCCCAAGCGATCACCGATAGAAGACGTACTGACAGCAATAGACTGTAAGTGGTTTACACAGCAGTACAAGACTGTAAGTGGTTCCACACAATATTTATTCTGACTACAAAATGTGTTAGCGGAAGTAATTTACTATAAGACGGAATATTACCCTTTCGTTACCAGGGCCCGTCAAGAAGAGGTTTTCTGAAGAAAGTGTGTGGTTTTCCGGCGTATGGTTACAATACTTTCTCTTCTTATAAAATAAGAATGATAAAGTAAAAATATGAAGGTACTGTTTCTCATAATGTATTGCAAGGTGTTGTTTATAAAATGGTACATGTATGTGTAATTATATAGATGTGGCAAAAGTAATCTAAAAACGACAATAAAATACAACAACGACAATAAAACATTATCAGTACTCTTGAGGAATGTTCAGTGATTTCTTGGGATAAAATTAATTCAGATATGGAACGTAGTTACAAGATTTGTATTTGAGTTGCTATAAATACAAAATACAGAACATATACTTAGTAATCTTGCACTAAGGAATTTAATAATTCCTACCAGTCAATTTTAAAATTGCCAATACATTACCACCTAACAATCAATTTTGTTCTATACGTATTTCTAAGTTGGTATCACTTATTCGTTGTACTGCTTTAATTTGGATTTGTATTACGTCCATTAATAATATTCTCATATACTGCCTTATATCACTTCATGTTCAATTAACCTGTTGCACCCCACGTTTGCCCCAATGTGGTATGTATTTCATTTGTAATTTAGCTTATGGTTTTAAAATTGTCATTAAATGTATACCCTTTTTAACGCTCTGTAGATTCTAAAGAAACCTTCAAACTGGAGCCAAAACATCGGTTTCCTGATGCAAAATTAGTTGACTTATGTTAGTTCATTATTTTGTAATTTTTACACAAAATGTTTTAATTTTCGAACGAGAAGTCTTCATATATCTGACACATTCACATGTCGTAGAAATGTTGTAGTTCGATACTTTTTACAGATGTAAACGGTCTACGCATTATGTCTTAAATTACTAGCTCTGCTATTCTGACTGATCATCCACTATATTAATGTGATTACTGCTAAATAAATAAAGTGCAACATACTCGTATTTTGTACTATTTCTTTCAGAATGTTTTTACTCCAATATATCCTCTATTCAGTTCCTTTCTCTTTTTTCTATATTTTCCAATTACAGTTCCCTCCCTTTTTCTCTTTAATATTTGAAAGTCCTTCACCAACTAATTCCCTCCGTGAACGAGCATGTATTTTAACAGAAGTCGTATGATCGTTATGCATTTTATTTTATGAATTACATTATTTTATAAATAATAGTGCTAATGAGAGAAGCATTCATCCCATTTATACTTACCCATCACATCGCCATTGCCGCACTCCATTGGTATCAATGAATAGTCATCACCTGGGAAAGAAGATTATTTAAATAAAATGTATTTTGAGTTCTTAAACAAAAGGTGGGTAAGAGTATGCAGGGACGTTTTTCCCGGTTGGCAGCAGTGAAAGAGGGAGCAAGTGTGCAAACATCACTCTCTCTCTAGTGACCGGCGTTACTATTTTCATCTTTGCTCTCTTTTATGTATCAGGTAAATAATGATTTCGTTTCATTAGCATGCTTTCTGCAAAGACATTTATTTCTTATAAATAAAGGGGTAATGCTACGCTTTTGAGTAAATGTTGTTAAGATGGTCGTGCCATTCCAAACAACATGACCGCGTTGACCGCCACATGACCGCGACTTGAAATGAATTGTGCTGCTTTGTATACACGAGCGTTTTAGAGAAACGACATAGAAGAGCCTAAGAGTGCGTACAGATTTGATGTGCATACGTCTTCTCAGATAGATGTTAGTATCCAGTCAATCGTGCCAATTCCACAACATAAAAAATGAAGAGCTGCCAGAAAAATATCTACAAAATCTGAGATCAGAGGAAAGGAATTAGAGGAAAGAAAGGCCAAAAAAAGGAACAAAAAGAAGGAAACGAAAAAATCATTGAAAGCCAAAACAAAACTGTAGTGAATAAACCTGGTTTCATCAACTGATTAGGCGGAAGAGCAGGTTATATGGATTGAACATCGCCATTAATTTATTATTATTATTATTATTATTATTATTATTATTATTATTATTATTATTATTAACAACTTCCAAAAACTATGACGAAATAATATACATAGCCTGCGTACAATCAGTTGATGAAGATTGGATCCAATGTCGAATGTGTAAGGGCTGATGGCATGAGGAACGTTCCAGTCACAGAGGCTTTTGCTTGTGCTTTGCATTAAGCTTTTGTGTGTGAATTCTATTGAATTTGCGTTTCTATGTACTCTTACCCGCAACGTCGGCAAGAATACGCATTTCACAATTTTTATTCCATTTCGTAATTAATATTTTTCGTAAAAATTTTGAAGTTCATAAACTATGTTTCAGGCAATTTTGAAGATTATAACACTACAACACTTCCTTTTAAAATTGACTAGTGATTCCGAAGCAGCAAGTACTTACACTACAATTTCTCTATTATACACAATTTATATATTATATCACTTATAAAATAAGTTTATTAAAATACATAAAATTCTTATATTTTGAAAGTTTTTTGATAGTGTTTGTAGTCTTTATTTGTTTTAGAATTTTGTTTTACATTTTATATTTTCCCTTAATATCCTGTGGAAGACAGTGAAGATGAGGTAAAATACTTCGAAACATATCTGTCTAATGCTGTAACTGATGAATAGTTAGTTAATATATTCTGTCTGTGGAATGTTTCTTTTTCCTTCCGTTGCATTACAATTATGGAGTTCCATAATATTTCTGAAGAAACTATCGAGTTTAAAATTATATAATTTCATTCACCTTGAATATCGCATTAAAAATTAAGCTAAGTTGACAAGTGGGTTAACGAGATGTTTTAGGCAACAAATCACCGTTTTACAAGGCCTTAATTTCTTTATTGTATATTTTTGCACGTTTTAGAGAGTTTTACTGCATGAATATCCGGTATTTACTAATAAACTAATTAAATTACTAATGTTCTACGATCTGCAATATTAAGTTAATTTATTGCCGCCTTATTTTGTGTTAAGAAATCCATCTAGTTGTGTTGATGCCCAAGAGAGTGCGCCAGCGCCGCCGCCACGATCTGCAAAGCGCGCAGGTTGAAGTGTTTGAAGGTCAGACGCTGCGAGGCGCTGGTAATGGTCGATGGAAAGGTATAACGTACTAGTATCTCATACGTGTCATTATAATAGATATATAAAATAGAACTATAAAATAATAATAATAATATAGAATATAATATATTAAAGATATAATATAGAATAGGTAATATTGAAAATAAGTAGAAAATCGACCACTTACTGAAGAAACGGTTATAACAGCTATGAGTGCGATAGTAAGGAAAATAGGTGTTTATCCCTAAAATCAGTGAATATTCATAATGAGAGCCAAAGCCATGGCATCAGTAAATGAGAAAAATAAATAAACTAAATAGTAAAAACCAGAGAAATTGAAAATACAATTTGCAAATGTTACTAATTTGTAACGAACTATTGAACCACGGAGCGAGCGATCGAAAACCGCCAGAAAATTGTTCGACGAGGGAGTTTGAGAAATTAAAATGGAATGAAGAAAGGCATCAGCAGTTTTTACGTTAAATATTGAACCGGAACAACAAGTGCACATTGTCGACTTGAAACAGCACGCGAGGCCTGGGAAGCATTACAAAAAAAATGGTGCCTAAATCGTTGCTGAGGATCTTTCAATAAAAAAGGCAAATTTCCACCATAAAGTTAAGTGTAAGAAACTATGTCGTGGTATTTATCAAAACTGAAAGTATGTATTGATAGACTGAAAGAAGCTGGGCATGAAATAACAGATAAGGAACTATCGTGTACAATGTTATTCGGTCAACCCGATGACTACCAAAATTTTGTGATGGCATTATCAAACATTACGGTGGACAAGCTGAAATCTGTTGAAATAAAGAACGTGCTTTTGACGAAGTACGAACAACGGGCAGTTCGGGATGCAGAACCTTAGGACAAAGCGAGAAAAATGTACCTAATTGGTGCAAAAAAATTCAAATAGAAGACGGATTGGAAGAAAGAAAATGTTTTCAATGTGGCATAGTGGGTCATTTTGCGAGAGAGTGGCACCAGAAAGTACAAAGTGAAAATGTGAGGAAGTGCTAGTATTATGGAAATCCAAATACGTGTTCAGCGAGTGTAGATTAAAGAATCAGCAGCAAAGAAGTTCTTTTGTGTTTTCATTGCGTACTAAAGATAATGACAATAAAACATGCATCAGGCAAAGAGGAAAAAGATTTCGCAGAAATAATTTATTGATATTTTGCTGTAAGAATCTAAATAAACCTTTGATAACTTGGGAGTTAGTCATGAAAAAACAAATATGGAAACACAACAGATGAATGGTGTTGCAGAAAAGTTAAATAGATCTTTGTTAGAGTCAGTAAGGGCAATGTTAAAATCAGCTAAGCATCCAGAAAGTTTTTGGGCAGAAGCCTTCTTGCAGCTTCCTATGTCAAAAATAGAACAACGCACAGAATGATTAAAGACAATGTTCCTGGAAGAATGTGGACAGGTAGGAAACCTAGTGTTAAAAGTGAATGTTTGTTTAGTATTTGTTCGTACTGTTAATCAGGGTGGAAACAAGTGGCAACGTAGAGCTAATGGGTGTATTTTTGTATGTTATTCAAACCAAACAAAAGGTTTATATGTTGTGGGATCCAATTAAAAGGGAAAAGGTACAGTCAAAACATGTCAAAATTATAGACTATCTGGTTATGACTGTATAAGCTATAGGAATACAAACAGTGAGCGAGTGGATTGTAAGATAAGGCTTAAGAATAAAAATGTAAATTCGAATGATGAAGATTCATGTGTAGGGGAATCAGATGTGGAGTCACAAAAATCATGTGAGAAACTTAGGAGATCACTACAGAAACATTCAAATAAATTTGCCTGAAATTGTTGAGCCCCAAGGTTACAATGAAAACATCAGTTCAAATGAAGCAAATGAGAGCATTATAACCACGAATAAGGAGTTAGATAATTTAGAAATGATGAAAAGATGTGAGATTGTAGAAAAAACAGATAATGTTAATTCCATTAGAAGTAAATGGGTTTATAAAGTTAAAACAGAACAACAAAGTAAATTGCAAATACTTAATTAGATTTAATAAGCTAGATTAGGGGCTCATATTTTTTTGGAGCTACCACGTATATGAGACAGTAAAAATATCATAAAATTTTGAATTCTAATATGATACATACTTATAAACGAGCAAATTACCTTTAAAAATTCTCTGTCAAATTTGGCACTGGCAGTGAGGGGCCCCATTTGGAGCTTTGGAACCCGGACTCGTGAGAACACAGCCCTGCTATCTCTCAATAGAGAAAATGCTGGAATGGAGTCATCACCGCCGTCAACAAAGATGTAGTAATGAACATCGTGTAAATAACATAAACCAACGCCATAAACAATTCCCTCGGTTGAGCCATACCGATTGCCCCTCCCTGTTGCATTCCCCCTTGCCCTTCTTTCTCGTACTCTCCCCTCCACCCCATAGGCCCGACGCAATACCACCCCGCAACCGCCTCTCCCGCCCTCACCCTGCACCCCTCTGTCGACCGCGTGTGGCATGCACCACGCCGCTGGAGGCCTCATGCATATGCGGCACGTTATTAGTGTATCACAAAGGTCATGTAGGCCACTGCGTATCTCACCCGAAATGCAGCCTACCGATTACTCGGACATGGAAGCGAAATACGGCCCTAATTGAGATTCAATTGTTCCCCGCACTTATCGTACGTCGTGTACGGTGCTCTTGGCCTCAGGTTTTGAACAAAGACTCTCATAAAAATTCATCAATCATGTTTCAGGCGCGTAGATGCGTTCCAATAATTCCCCTTTATGTTCCCTTTTTTCTCAATAATGGTTGCTGGTAAATAATAGACCGCCCTCGGGAACAATTTCTTTGTGAAATCTCAAGGTCGCCGGAAAGTCTTCCATACAATGGGACGCGGCTTTCGGCGTCTTGTCTGTGCCAACCGGAAACGAGCCCTTGCTTGTGGTATGGGCTGAAAGTGAAATGAAGCTCTTTTTGCATCATCTCGCATCACGAGCGGTTCATATTTCCCGGGAAATATTTCCTCATTCACCGAGGAAGGTCACCTATCGCCCGTTCTCCTCAGGATCTTTCCTCACAGACCCTCCTCAAGGGCACATTCCAAATGAAAGTGAAAACTGCTCCCTTGTCCTCTGCAAAGAGCGAGAACAGGGAAGGTCGCGGATCAACCCACCAAGAAATTGATCAGCATTTTTGGATCTTGAAGCCAAATTCACTTCTCTGATCATTAAGAAATTTCGCAATTAAAAAGTACGCTAAATTAATTTAATTCTCCCATTCATGTAGTTTGCAAAACTTCATTTTTGTTTACATTTTATCATTTACTTTCTGAAGCAATATTGCAAGATCTACAGTACTTCCCATTATTTTCTTTTGTTTATCAGTTACTGCGAAAGGGTTACCCATCTACAATGTAAAAATATAATAATAAGAGTTTAATTTTTCTCTTTAGGAAAGGCTTCCTATGTAGGGATGACTAAAAGTTTTACTTGATGGCCATTCCCAGTTACGAGTAGTCTTGAAGAACTGAATCTGAACTGTATTCTAAATGGTGACGTATTTGTTTTTATTGCTCCCAGACAAGTCTGAACAAATATAACCTGTTTACCTATTTAAAAATAACATTTTTAAAAATTGTGAAAACTCCACCCCTGTATTGCTCGTGGGCTGTAATAGTGGCACACTAAAAAATACGAACTTTGAGGTAATACTCTTTCCAGAATTGCAGATTAGTTTACCATCCAGCAACAGCAGCTTATCTTACAGGATAATATTCCACCAACAAATGGCAGAAGTGTGAATAGAAGAATAATGCATTTCAATGCAAGATGAAAACTTCAAACTTATTTATCTCGACATTTGATTTTTTGAATTGTGCAACTATTGCAGCCCACGAACGGTTTAATTGAGGGAACATTGAATTCAGTGCTGTGTTTTACAGTAATAACACATTGTAAAATTATGTCCATGACACAGTTCTTTTTTGAACGACAATTTCCACTAAGAAAGAAATATGTAATATTTCGCTTTTAAACTGAATGAATTAAATGTTTCGGCCATTAAGCGTACTTAATATTTATATATTAATAATAGTAGTTACTCAATGTACCATGTGCGTTATATGGGTACTAATGATTTAGTGAAAATAGGTACTAATGATTTAGCCTCCGGTTCTTGTCGCCGCTCGATAATTAGACCCAGTCAGCGC